CCAGTAGCAACCGGTGAAGAGGCGGGGCCAGGAGCTAAGACTCGACCCCTGCAACCACAAATAGGTGAGTACACACACACACACACTGCAATGGATCAGAGAATACCTGACGGGAAGGCATTAGCGAGTCATGGTACGTGACGAGGTGTCAGAGTGGGAGCCTGTGATGAACGGGGTTGTAGATGAATGGTTCAGAGAACCGACAAGTTGATAAATTAGACACACATGCAACATTTGGGTATCTTTAATGAGAAAACGTTTCGCCACACAGTGGCTTAATCAGTCCATACAAAGGAGATCGGTGAAAAACAGGAGGAGTTTGAGGTAATCAGTCCCTCAGCCTTGAGTCGATGTGGTCAGTCCATCAGTCTTGAAAAGAATACAGCATATGTGCGAAGTAGCTTATATACTGTAGGCAGGAGAGGTGCAACAGTCGTAGGTGGTGTCACATTTGTCCGATGTGATACCTAGGTCATGCCTAACCCTTGGGCATGACCTACTTCCACATTGGACAAATGTGATACCACCTACGACTGCTGCACCTCTCCTGCCTACAGTATATAAGCTACTTCTTCGCACATATGCTGTACTGTTTTCAAGATTGATGGACTGACCACATCGACTCAAGGCTGAGGGACTGATTACCCCAAACTCCTCCTGTTCTTCACCGTTCTCCTCTATATGAACTGATGAAGCCACTGTGTGGCGAAACGTTTCATCATTAAAGATACCCAAGTGTATCTTTATTTACCACGAACGGGGTTCCACTGGGGTCAGTCCTAGGACCGGTGCTGTTTTTGGTGTATGTGAATGAAATGACGGAAGTGTCCGTGTTTGCAGACGATGTGAAGTTAATAAGGAGAATTAAATCGGATGAGGATAAGGAAGGACTACAAAGGGATCTGGATAGGGTGCAGGACTGGTCCAGCAACTGGCTCCTGGAGTTCAACCCCACCAAGTGCAAAGTCATGAACGTCGGCGAAGGGCAAAGAAGACCGCAGACAAAATACAGTCTAAGAGGCCAAAAACTACAAGCCTCACTCAAGGAAAAGGATCATGGGGTGAGTATAATACCGAGCACATCTCTTGAGGCGCACATCAACCAGATAACTGCTGCAGCATATGGGCGCCTGACAAACCTAAGAATAACGTTTCGACACCTCAGTAAGGAATCGTTCAAGACTGCACAGTGTGCGTCACGCCCATAATAGAGTATGCAGCACCCGTTTGGAACCCACACCTGGTCAAGCACATTAAGAAATTGGAGAAAGTGCAAAGGTTTGCAACGAGACTAGTCCCAAAGCTATGAGGTACGTCCTACGAGGAGAAGTTAAGGGAAATCGACCTGACGACAGTGGAGGACAGGAGAGAGGGGACATCAGAACGACTTATAAAATACTGAGAGAAATTGACGAGATGGACAGACAGGATGTTCCAAAAATGGGACACAGCAACAAGAGGCCACAAGTTGAAGACTCAGATGAGTCACAGAGGTGTTAGAAGTATTTCTTCAGTCACACAGCTGCCAGGAAGTAGAATAGTCTGGGGCTTTAAGATGTATGATAAGGTTCATGGAGCAGGAAGAAAGTGACCTAGTAGCGACCAGTAAAGATGCGGGGCCAGGAGCTATGACTCTACCCCTGCAACCACAATTAGGTGAATACACACTGAGAAACTCTGAGATGTGCTCATGAAATTTCGCACAAATCCCTATGACGACACGGCTGATATTTCCAAGACTTTTTTTAAGAGTAGGCCTACAAGAAGATGAAGAGTATGCTCGATTTCTGTGGCCAGAGGACCCACATGATCCTCAAAGTCCTGTAAAAATGTACCGTTTGAAGTCTGTTTTATTTGGTTAAGTATGTAAACGAAAATATCCCTGAAGTAGATGGATGACCTATGAAGAGAGTCTAGAGAACGTAAACTTGACGATACTAGACGACAGAAAGACGAGAGGTGATATGATTCGACGCACAAAATATTCAGAAGAATTGACAGATGAGTCACAGGGGTGTTAGGAAATACTTCTTTAGCACTTGGCTATCTGGTTGGAAGGAAGTTTAGATGCGTTTTGAAGCAACGTTATTATTACTATTTTTATTTGGGAGCTCAGGGAATTTCTGAGGTGGCTGAAGCCCCCGCCCAATTCCCCAACACTATCCACACCTCCATTTACTCACACTCATCCATCCTCACCACACCCACACTCCCAAAAACCCAGGCACACACACACACGCACACACACTTCATCCTCCCACATACAGCCAGCTACAGACCCGCACCTTCCATATAAGTAAAGTAATTCACTAAGAATATCAGGTGGTAATGGCGGGTAAACTCGTGTTCCTTCGTGAACTTGAAACATAAGAATATCCTGGTAATCTTTACACTCGAGCAACACATAAAGCTCACATAAATGTCTAAAGGACAACCGTAAATATATTCATGTTATAATTTTAAGAAAACTGATAAGACTTATCAGATTAAACGAATAATTTTACGGAGTGATAGAGTCTTTCAAGCTCTCGTTGGCGCGATAACGAATCTTTCCACGACCTTCAAAAACTTTTACCCCACACTCTGAGAGCTTTAAACGCCTTGTTAGTTTGGGTAAGATAGTAACTATTGCATCATAAACAACAAGTGTGTGGCTGCCAAGCAGAGAGAATCCAGCGATATGTGGTAACTTAACCTCGACCACTGTGTGTATCTCAATGTACTTCTTCAGATTTTATTCTTCGTGATTCTAGTTTATTTCTATATTTATGCTGTGGTGGTTTAGTTATATATTATGTCTAAACTCCTCATTCCTCTGTCAGCCTGCCTGTTCCCCCCCCCCCCAACTCTCTCGATTTCTCGTTTTGAACAAAAGGGTCTTACAAGATTAGGTTAGATGTGCCTTTCTTAACTTACAAGGGCTCTCTCTGTCTCTGTCTGTCTCTCTGTCTTTTTCTCTCACTCTCCCTATCTATCTTATGGCGTTCTTTCCTGCCTTCAATACGGTGATTCTTACTGGAAACATCTATTTCTAGAGTTACCTGTCTACGAGACTCGTAAAATCCAATCGAAAAAATTACAATTAACCCACAATAACGTAGATGGAACAATTTACAACTAGCCGACAACACTGTGTTTACAACACTTCATAACTAACCCACAATACAGTGGCTGAAAAAAATCACAACTTACCCACTATAACGTGGTTGGAACAATTCACAACCCACAATATAATGACCACCTGGAGGGTATTCCGGGGGTCAACGCCCCCGCGGTCCAATCCTTGACCAGGCCTCCCGGTGAATCAGGGCTTGATCAACCAGGCTGTTACTACTGCCGCACGTAGTCCAATGTAAGAACCACAGCCAGGTTGATTGGGCTGGGGCACCTCACAACTAACCCATAATAACGTGGCTTGAGCAATTCACAACTAACTCATAATATAGAGGCTGGAACAATTAACAAGTAATCCATGACGAACCTTTGTCGTCGAAGATTCAAAGACTGTATATATTACAAGCACGGAGTGAAGACAAGAGCTTGACGTGCTGTAGAAATGTGGGCAAGGTATCATTCATGAAGATATTCAAGAAAATTGGGTAGTTTAATCATTGGGTATGTTCCCTTACACCTGTTCACCTAGCAGTAAGCAGGTATATTGGTGTCAGCAGACTGATTTCATTCCGTTTAAGGTATATACACCTGATGACGCAATACGCCTTACTTGTTGGGTTTATCGGTTTACTACCAAGAACTTATTCAGCATAAGCTAGGAAGAGACCATGGTCAACTCTCCTTACATCTGTTGCCTTTGTTCACCTTGAAGTAAATAGGTACCTGGGTGTTAGTCGACAGCTGTGGGTCGCATCCTGGGCGGTGGTTAATAGTAGTAGTAGCAGTAGTAGTTGTAGTGGTGATGGTGGTGTTGGCAATAGCAGTAGTAGTAGCAGTAGGTATAGTGATGGAGTGGGGGTAGAAGTAGTAGTAGGGGTAGTGGCACCAGCAGCAGTAGTAGGCGGCTGAAGAGTGGTAGAATAAGTAAGGGTCGGGCTTGAAAATGAGCTACGATAGGCAATCACTTTTACCATGTAGATTCAGTAGGTTAAAAAAAAAAAGCATGGCCTTAACACACGGTCAACCACAGTCAACAAAGTCAGCTTTTTTAGCAATCCGGTCCTTGTTTTCTCAGATGTTCTTGTATCAAAATAAAAACCAGTAATGTATTTGCTGCGAAGTCGGGTTACTTGGCCAAGAGCGCGAGTTCGGATACACAAGGTCGGGTAGCGTGATTTGGGACTTAAGGTCGGACAAGCGAGGTAGGGTCCGCGAATTCAAATGGCTTCAGTACTCGAATTTGTTGGCCAAGACATGAAAATCCAGTAGCTCAGTGGCAGAGTGCTTGACTAGCAACAGAAAGGACACGGGTTCGATCCCCAGACTGGACTTGACGATGGGTAAGCCTCCATACACCAGCCGTCCCTGTTCATCTACCAGTAAGCAGATAACCTAGTTATAGACGGTTGTAGCAGACCGCATCCTGGAGGGTGATAATACAACATATAATTGAGCTTTAAAATGACGAGAGATAAAATAGTAACATGAGGTAGGATAATGACCTGAGGAAGCATAATTACATACGATAGGATAATGATATTTGGTTGGATAATGACATTAGGTAGGATATACATAAGATATGATGATGACATGAGGTAGGATAACAGCTCTCAGCTGTCTTTGAAGTCGATAAATTAGCTAAGCCTCCTCAAAGGAAAAATAATCATACTCATTAAACGGTGAAATATATAGATGAGAAATGAGTATTTATTCTAATTTTGTTATAATTATCTATAAAGAATTATTATTATTCGTTGTTCAGGAAGTTGTTCTTGCCAAACAACTTCCTGAGAACAGGAATTTACTTTACTCAAGCATAGTAATATCATATCCACCTGTCTCACCTTCCCTCTCTTGCAGTGTTTAATAATCTTTCTCTCCGCCAGGTGGTTATCTTGCTTCTGGTAGCGTCGGTAAGAGGTGAGGCTGATGCAGACCCGAAGCCCAACATGGAGTTATACCCACAGTATGGCACCAGCTGGGCAGCACAGCATTTTGGCACACCACAGGAGATAGCTGCTGCCGGTGAATTGGCCTCACACCGTCATGAAGGTAGCCTAGCTTCTTCAGGCTCGGAATTCCTTCCAGCTAAGGCATCCCCATCGCCACTCTTCGCTATCCGGGACGTCCAGACGAGGCCACCGGTGAGACCCGCCATCCAGCTACTGCGCCATCCTACCTTCTTACTTTATCCACCATCGCCGTACTTCCTGCAGACCATCCACCTTCGCGTACCTGATGTCAGGACGCAGGCAGATGTCCACGCACCTGTAACGGCGCCCTCATCGCTCAGCTTTGGCAGTCAGCACACTGCCCAGATCCCCTTCATTCAACAAGGCTCAGGTTCCACTTACCTGAGATTCTATCCTAACCCAGTCGCTGCCTCCACTTATCCTTTCACTACTCGACAAGCCATCAAAGAATTTGCTGTTCCCAGTCACTCGAAAGAAGACGAAGACGACGACGAAGGCGTGTCAGACAAAAATTACATCATCCTACAGCACTTCCCGACGGAGCTGGCAAGCTTGACAAGCCTACGCGACATTGATAACGAACCTGTAATCCCTGCTGGCATCGTTCAGTCCACCCAGCCCAGTTTCAGCCGGGTTGTGTTCATTAACGATAAAGCACATCCGAGCCTCCATGACAAGAAGCCCTCGAAGGATGGTAGTGTTCTTCTTGTGTAACCTGTGTCGGTGTTTGTGTGTGTGTGTGTGTGTGTGTGTGTGTGTGTGTGTGTGTGTGTGTGTGTGTGTGTGTGTGTGTGTGTGTTTCTCCACAACACGAGGGAGTCAAGATCCAAAGTAAATTACCGATTTCTTAAACCAGACATCAAGTCTGTATAGTCAAAACTGTAAATTTGCGTGTCGAGAAGTGAACGTTTGCTTTACAAATCTTTTATCAAGTTACCAAGGTGGAGGAGGACTCTCCAAAGAACGCGTGAAAAAAAAAAATCCAAAAAGTTTCCAAGTAGGTTAGTATGCGCAGCAGATGGTACCTAGGACATGCCAACCCCCACAGTGAACAGCCTCCACGTTCTCTGGCGGCCTCTAGGGGTACAACTATCAGTTTGTAATACAATGTCCCTGACTCCTGTCTGATATTGGCCACGGAGACCTGAATGTACCACTGTTCGGGGTTCTTAAACAATCATCGATTAACTTTAATTTTAATAAAATTTAAACAATTCAAAATCAGATCTAAAAGGGCATTTCTTAAACCCAGTTCAATGATAATTAATTTATTGGATGTTTTAATAAAATTTATAATAAGGATATTTTGTTCCGAGTATTGATTTTTTTAAGTCAGAAATTTTAATGATCGTATCTGACAAGACATTAAAGTGGGCAGGCTGGACGGCAGCATGAAGATAGTGACCTTGCGCACTTTCGTCTGGACGAGCAGCTGCACCAAGATGATCTGTGGAATGAACCACACCCGTTCATCGTCTGCCTCCACCACAACCTTTCTTCTGCCTCGTCATCACCCACAACCTTCCTTCCTCTGCCTCTTTATCGCAATCTTCATTCTGCTTCTTCATCACTTACAGCCTTCCTCTACCTCTTCATTACCACCTTCCTTCCTTTTTTCTCTGCTTTACCACACACAACCTTTCCCATTCATTCCTATTATCTTCATCAATATGGCTGTGTGCAAATACTTTCACCTCTCTTACCTCCTAGGACACTACGTGGGGTGTCATTTTTTTTAATTATATGAAAAACCTACTGTCACATCTTATAATGTGAGGTTTAATTTTACGAGGTTGATAAGTAAGCCAGAGGAAGGGCTCGGTGAAACGTCCAAAATCTCCACCACGCGGATCCTCATATGATAATGACCCGCGTCAGGAGAATTTTTTTCAGTTCTCTAATAGATTACGACAACGCTGAAATGTAATTACCTTTCACAGTGGTTAAATTGCATGATATTTCAATTATGGGTAGAGATTACCCCTAATGAGCTAGGAAATTTATTGAGTTGGCGTGCATCAGGTGTGCAAAGATTCCTAATGAACTGTTACTTAATATATTCAGGTAGCTAGAACAGGGGTGTATACTGGGCCAGGTTCTCTGGTATGGGTAGTAGTCCTTCGTGGTACGGTATGTGTCCTTCATGAGAAGACGTCTGCTACTTTTACTCTATGATCCCTCGCATAATTTCGCTTTTAATAGCCTACTCGATCCTCTCTTGCCGTCCCGCTCTCTCCATCCTCCAGCACACACCTTAGCCTGCACATCTGGCCCCATGCACCGACCTCAGAACTTGTGTGTCGCAGTCAGTTTTCTGATGTCTTCAGATGTTATTTCTAGCCAGGGTTCTGTAGGTTCACAATCCAGGGTTCATTAAATTTAAAGACCAAAGCTTCAGGAAATTCAATGAACAGCGATTCTTTACTCAAACTTTATTTAAATTCTACAATTATTGTTGAACTTCACAGGGTTACTCCACATTCCAGCGTTTACTAAGCTGGTTCGAGTAACTGCGAACATCACATGTCTGAATCAGTATGAACTAAATTTAAGCACAAATTTATTTGAATAAGCTGTTTTATGCGAGTTGTTGTGCAAAACGTTTATATGATACAATCAGAGAAATTATTCTCGCTACCAACTTTGGTCCTGGCGACTGCCAGAAGCAAAGGGAAAGAGATAAATAAAATAATGCAAATTATTAGATTATATAAAATATGATATTTTGTATTATGTTAATTTTAGCAATGTTGGGTAGGTACTTTTCGTAAAATTACGAAATTACAAGAAAAAATTGCATAGCTTTATGTAAATATTTTTCTTGAAGTGGAGTAAATCTTTCGAGTGATTCGAACAAACTAACACAAAAAATCGGTAATAATCCTACTAGTTTATTCAAGGTTGGTCGTCTTTCCTCTCGCCTTCACTCAAGTATGCCGACTTTCCTCAGCCTGCCATGGTATTGACTTCAATTTTCTTGCTCGGCAGTTGATTACGCGCACATGAATCTACTGTAAAACCAATGCTCTCCTATATCGTTTTCAAAACTAAATGTATTCAATTTGAAATCACTTACGAATTTTATTTTAGTTTAACAAATATATAGGTTCATAAAAACAAGAAAGGTGATCTAGGTGGCGTCGTTGGCACAAACCGAGTCGTTATTCATAACAATGTTGTTACTGTTATTGTTCCTAACACCTATATTATGGTTTTTATCAATATATCATGGTTATGGTTATTACCCATAATAATCATGCTTTAGTCAATCATGAGCCAGTAAAGTGATTATCCATAACAAATTATCGGGCAATTATTGAGCAATTAGTTATAATAATCAAATTTTTAGGGAAAATCTTGTAATTGGCCACACACATAGCAAGGTTTCATCGCATAGATAAGCGCACACAGTGGCGGTTCAGCGAGAAGCGCAGCTTCTTCCGAACCGGATAAATATCTATATATCAATAACCCCACATGATGTGGCAAAAACCACACCATCAAAACTCACCCAAAGTGGTCATGCCACTTAGCATTTCTTACCTCTCGCTTCCCTTGTACCCATAACTCTTTTCACTGCTCTGTCCTACCCGTCCCTTCCCTTTCCAGTCATGCTACCCCCCATGGCTAGCAACAGCAGCTAAAATAATGCCAAAAAGTTACTCTATGCACAATTAGGCTGGGCTAAACTATTGTTAAATATAATAAAAAAAATAACTCACCGGAAAAAACGTAACTTGCCTATGAATTGGTTTCCTCTTGATTAGCCTTAAGCAGCTCGTGTCACGTTCGACCGCCACAACACAAGGTGTAGTGCCCGGCTATAGATAAGAGAATGTAAAAACAGGAAATTTCCCAACTATGTCCCGCTCCTCACCTGTTTAAGACAGTAATACAGTTACGTACTTTTATTAGCTATCAAATTTCCAGACAAATTAATCTGGCTGAATCCTCAAGCGTTAACTTTAACGTTATTTAAGTAATACTAAATTTTTGAACTCGTGAATGTTCTCCATGATAGTTATTACCGAATGGTTAACATTTAGAAAACAATAAATATTTATTGTTATCGAACTTGTGGGTGGTTTTTAGTAGCTGTGGTGGTGGTGGGGATATTGTTCACCTTGGCAGGGACCAGGTAAGTACGGGACCACCAGGTATGTGAGGGCCAGCTGGTGCAAACAACGGAGGCAATCAGGTGAAGGAGCCAGTGACTGCTCCATGCCAGCTCTGGCACCGATATTTGTTTCGTTTGGCACCACTGAAGGGTAAGAAGTAGTAAGCATAAGCAGTTTTGTTTGTTCTCCTTTGACCACTCCCTGAATCTCTCTCATCCAACCTTCCTAGCTCACAAACCCCCTTGCCTTCTCCATTTTAATTAACCTCCCCAGTTGCTAACACTTTTGACACCTTACTACTATCCTTCCCCATTCACCTACACCCTTCACCACGCATTACTAACCTTCCCAATCACTTGTGCCTTTGACCATTCACTGTTATTCTCATTTACCTGTGCCCTTGACCCATCCATTCTGTTCTCTCCCATTTACTAGGACCTTTGACTCTTCCTTTCTCTCCTTCCTTATTCATCTCCACCATTGATTCTCTAATTCTAAACTGCCCTGATCCACCTACACCCTTGATCCCTCCCATTCTGTAACCTAAACCCCCATTCACACACACCTCTCACTTGCTATTGCACCATAGTCTCGCAGCACCTGTCCTTCCCAGCGGTCAGCAATGTCATCTTGATAACGGTGTCTTTCCCTAGTAATGTCACGACGGCTCATCCCTCTCTGTGTCTCATCTTCCGTAGATGCGGTCAACAATCGTGCAACCCATTCACATATAATGAGATGAAACTCCTACATACAAAAAGAGTCAATAAAGCGGCTGTGACCAGGTGGTCATATGGTCGTTCAGGTCTCCGGACAAGTCTTGCGTCAGAGGCAAGGCATCTATACTGTTCCAGTTTACTTCTAGTGAAGCGCGCAACCCTTCCTCCGCCCCCACCAAGGTCGCCTGCCTAACCAGTCTTCCTGGAGAGACAAAACAGGGTTTAGGGGTGGAGCTGAGGCCACCAGGATGTGGGGGAATGCCCTGGGTGTCTGGGGGCGAGTGCCTCACCCATCGTGTGCCATCCTGTGCTTACATTACATCACTTGCTGTACGCTTGGCTCATCTGCGTTTCACTAGATTTTTGCTACTTTGATTCTTGTGCATTTACGGGGTATCGACTTCAATTTTATAGGCTTCTCATCAACAAAATTTCAGAGCTGGCAGAGCCTTATCTCACAGAGGCCCAGAGTTCACAGAGTTTCACAAAGATCTCAGACCATATCCATTCAGTTGATTATATTTCCTGTTTTAGTGATTAAAGTATACTTGATGTTAGTGTCTGGGTGGATTGCAATCCATACGTTTTTAACGCAACAAATTTACTTTTAGTCCATACAGCTCACAGTCTCCATAACTCATAGCACAACAGATTTCTAAGTACCACATCTCAAAGCGCTCCACAATTCACAAGCTCACAACTTATCGTTATTAGCACCAGGGACATAATGAGTAGTGGTTCCACCTCACTCAGGAAAGCTTCGCCTCGGTGGCAGACGAGAATGGAGTTGACACTGTTGACCAGACTTTGATTGCCTAACACTAGGGCGGGGTTGTTGTCGCTGGTGGTAGTGATGTGATTGTGAGTGTTTATGTCATTACTTGTTTGTAGTTACAGGACCAGTTTATGGTATCCAGCTTTCATGATCAGTTTGTTAAAACTCTAAATTTTTCAGGTGTCGTATCGCTACCTCTTCTTGAATCACTTTCCAGTGTTTTATCATTCTGTCTATGAAGAGAAACTTTGTAGTATCTGTTCAGCATCAGTTTTGTTTGTCTCTGTAACTGTGACCTCTTAATGTCCCCGTTCATAGTCCCAAAAAATTATCTTTATCTATTTCTCGAACTTTTTATGATTAGGTGGTGCGTCTAACATTTCCCTTTCCCATTTGCCAAAACAAAGTTTATCCTCATCAAGAGTGTTAGTTAAAGTTTTTTTTATTAACACGGGCCCACTACAACTTTTTCATTTTTTGGGAAGCTTTTTTTTGTTGAATCTTATAACGGCAACAACTGCGCCACAAAATTTTATAAATGGTTTTGAATTATGTCATGTATTTCTTTCTTTACTAAAAATTTTTTTTAGTTCATATATAAGCATCTTTTACGTTATTAGATGCGGTTCTGTTTTTTTACAACCCCTGCAAATATTTTGTGATGGGGCGCGGATAATAAGTGATGATTTGATCTTGTGTACACTACGTCAAAGGTTTTGTCTAGGATTTATTTTCCCTATTAATATAAAACGCTCCTTTTTGAATAGAATTAAAAAAAAAAAGGTATAATAACAATGTGTAGGCACAGCATTACCCGTTTACGGTGGTTTTTTTGGGGGCCCAAGTGTTTTTGTTCTCTCCTGTTAATTTTTAAAATAAGTGTTAAATTATAGTTATAAAATGGCTGTCCACCTACTGTGTGGTCGATCACCCGTTGAAGTGTAGGATTGGGGGATGATCTTGCGAATGTAGGGGGGAAAAAAACTAAATATTTTCAGAGAAATTGTCTTTGAATTGTTTTTGTACAGTTGTTGTAAAACTGCAGACCCTGATCGGAAAGACTGTTGTTGTAGTTTACGAAAACTCGATAAAAAGTTTGTATTTTCCAGTCTAGTTTCTTTTCGCTAAAGCTTTTATATAGTATAGAGTAAAGTGCTGTGTCTATGCTAAAGAGCTTGCGGTGGGAAAAGTAGTAGTTAGCAAAATGAAACTTGTAGTAGTTATCAGACACGAAATGTTGCTCGTGCACACACGATGACTCATAAAGAAAACGAAAACCTTTTTTTTTTATATTTCACGTAAACCCGATAAAGTAAAAACCCTTTTGGGGTGTGTCCCGTTTATACAGTGTGTAGGGAAAAGTGTCCATACTGTGTGCTGTGTTTTAGGACTCTGCCAATCAACTATTTTCTTATGCTACTCCATAATGCCCCAAATAAAGCTCGCCCCCTTTTTGTTTTAATTTCTTTGCCTGTAAGATGATTTTTATTTTTTCTTGGCACAAAAATAAAAAAAATGCGGTTACACACTGAAAGAATTTTCTTTTTTGTATATGCCCCGGAAGGCTCCTTCGGTGTATTTACACTCAGGTGTGCCTTTTTTATATATATTTTTTAAAAATTTTTTTTATATATATATAATATAAAATTTTATATTTTATATTTATTTTTATATTACGTGGTATAGGTAAAATTGCAAATTTGCAAGAACTTTTTTAAAAAATGGGCCTTTCTAAAATTTTTTCTTAACGTTTTAAATTTTTTTTATAAGAACATAAAAAAGAAGGAACGCAACGGGCCCACTACCATCGGAGCAGGTCCTGTCCCCCTATTTTAAACAAAAACCCCCCCCCCGGGGGGAGCCCAAAGACCCACCCCGTTGGTATCCCACCAAAGGGTGGAGCACTGCACCAGACCAGCGCCAAGTTGTTCAGGTCCCCCTCACCCCCCCACCCACTCATGTATTTATCTAACCTTTTTTAAAAATACAAAACTTTTTGCCTGAAAAAACGTGCTGGGGTTTTATTCCCCTCATCCACAACTCTATTTCCAAACCAGT